ATTAGCATGAACTGTATAGAAATAAAGATTTGTAATCGAACCAAAGTTCACACCCAAATAAATGTTTTGGCTGGATATTCGATTTTGACTTGATGTTTCTTCTTATTTATATTTTTCCTTGGTACAGTTAAATGCTTGTATTTCGAACTGGATAAATTAAAACTCAAACTTGTGAAAAATAATAATGGAACCGCACTGACGCATATACACAAAATCGAACAGAAATAAAACCCACACTAGAAAATCAAATCGAAATGTACCGAAGTATATTATTTGGATCGATTTTTTAATTTGGATTCGATTTTACTCACCTCTACCTTGAATTAAATTTTTTACAAAATGATGGCAATGCATCATGAGCATAGTCGGGCCAATTTCAACTGCAAATTTTGTGTGGACTCATATTGGATTGATATGCGTAATGAAAGTAGACCCAAACGTAAATGTGCTAGAAAATCACGTGTTGGACCATGACATTCATTGGGCTGATGGACTTGCTCCTGCTATTTTTTGCCTACTTCATTGATTTTCGAAGGCCTATGAAGGATTAAAGAAAGAGGTTAATTAAAAGATTCAAAACCATTGGAAACATGTGAATTATGCATGACATAATTAAAAATGGGACATCATAGAAAAAAAAAACTCTCAAATTTAACATTATTATTTAGGCAGTAATTATTCACTCATTTCCCACCTGCCTAAATAAACATAAACTAAAGCATGATTGGCGAATTTCAAAACTTATCATAGTAAGTAAGTACTGGAAATTGAGAGCTTTCCATATGATTCTTGAAATTCAAATTTTTATAGTTGTTAGAAAAAAATATCTATAAATAGTCCCTATATCCATCAAAGAATCTATTGTTGGATACTCGTTTGTGATCATTAGATTCAAAACTAGATTTAATAAGCATATATACTTTGGTGGTGCAAGTGCAAAGGTTGATGAATTCGCGCCGTTGCGCAGCATGCAAGCATTTGCGAAGACGATGCCCCTCCGACTGCATCTTCTCTCCTTACTTCCCTTCCAACAATCCCACACGATTCGCTTTCGTTCACAAGATTTATGGGGCGAGCAATGTTGCCAAGTTGCTTCAGGTTAATAAACAATGCAAAACGACACGACTATCTATCTGCATTTTTTCTTATTCATTACATTGTCCGATTTTCGAGTCAATTTTCGAGTCATTGATGTTTTGTTCGAAAAATTATAGGATCTGCCGGTGAATTGCCGGGCTCAAGCGGCTGAGTCTTTGTGGTACGAGGCGTATTGGAGGATAAACGACCCGGTGTATGGATGTGTTGGGGTTATAAGTATTTTGCAACAACAGATTCAGGATTTAGAAGAGCAGTTGGCAAGGATTCAAGCACAAATTGCTGCTGTTGTTGCTCAGTCCCAAAGTCATGAGCCTCCTCAGCATGTTGAGATTAGTGGTTCTACTAACATGTTGGCTGACCAAAATGGTGATAATTCCAATTTGGCTTCATTCGCGGATTTCTCCCCATGGTTGGATTAGAGATTATTT